GTGACACCACGCTGCTCTGTCAGAGCCAGTCCCAAGCGGATTACCTTCCTGGGAGGTACTGATCCCCCCCAACATTTCCACTGCAGCCAGCAAAAGCTCAGGGGGTGCTGAGCATTCTCCACGTAGCGCTCAGTGCTCGAATGCAGCATTGGCTGCTACTATCGATCCCGCTTACCAATATAGAAGCCACAGAGCTTTCTTGTCTCTTCATTTAATCATTGTATATACAGAGCTGGGCTGTTATTTACATCCAAGTACACTTGTCTCCATATAACGTAGCAGCATAAGACCAACAATTAGATTCCTATTTTGAGTGCGGAAACCCGGAGGTGATCTCCCTCCGGCGTGACGCCAGCGACAGCAAGAACAGTGCAGCCGGCTGCCACGAGACAGTGGCAGAAGCTAAGTGGGACTGTGTGAAGCACAACAACACACGACGGTTGTGGTGTTCACACCCGGGGAGAGACAGGAGTGCTGGCAGCACAAGGGGAACTAGCCCAGCTGGGTCAGCATCTTACAGCAACAGCTACCACCCTTGAAACGATGGTGGAGCAAAGCAATCCCACTCACAGCAAGTGGTGAGAGGGGCTGCTTAGACCTTCCCTGGCACCAGGATAGCCTGCTTAGCCCAAATCCTCAATGATGGAAGTTGCTGGAGCAGGTCAGTGTCCTCTGTTTGCTCATATAATGACCATATGGACGTGCCTGAAGCATGACTCGGTTGCCTGCATGTGGGTGATGTGCCACTAGAGATGCTCCAGGTCTTCCCTCCACTGGCCTGGCTGTCACATAGGTTTTGGATCATATTGGCCAGCCCTATGTATCAGGTATCCCACAGCATCTCTAATGTCCCTGGACCTCACATGTGGGCAACTGACCTGAGACACTTGTCACCACAGCTTTTGCTGTTGGCCAATGGCAAGTTAGAGATGACTTGTTTCGGTGGAGGGACTAATCACGCGCAAGATTTTGAGGGCAGTACTTGGAGAATTAGCTTGAGCCAGTACGTCACACGGAATCCCATCAGCTCAACAGCTGGCTGAGCAAAGGTGGAAGAGACAGCTGGGTTGTGGTCAAGCCCAAACTCTGAGGTGAGTTTCATGGGACAGAAATGTTTTATTGGCCTTGCCTGAGCCTCCAAGAGACAAGATGTCAACCTCCTTGGCCATTCCCAGGATATGTAATCAAAATGCCAGTCTGGCACCCCTTGGCTATCTCGCTCCAAGGCTAAGACCCCAGCGCCTCAACACATGTCAAGCTTGTGATGGGAGACTTCATCCAGTCAGCAGGTAAAAGTGTTAAGGTCTGGAAAGAGCTAGGTGAGCTCCCATCTGGGCCAGACCTGAGCACAAACAACAGGAACCCAGGTGTCCCACCATCATTTTGCTCTGGCTCTGCTGAGCAAATGATAGTCACCTCTGAGACAGACTGGTTAACAGCATGCGGCCACACAGTGCTAGCACATGGCAGAAGACATGATGGGAAGCAGTGCATCCAGTTGTGGGGAGGATTCCGGAAGAGCAGGAATCCTTCATGGCAGTTTGGTTGCGGCACTTGCCAAAATAATCTGTAATTTATGTCACTGTAGCATAGGGGGGTGGTTTCTGCAGGACAGCTGAGTGCTTGGGGGATGCTGGGCGAATCCCAAGAGAGGGAAAACCATCATCATCAGCACCACGTTTTAATAGGTGTCTGCAAGGCTCTCTGTCATCCAGGGAATGGCGACAATCGAGGTTGCTCAGATCTGGATTGAAACTCTAGATCAAAGTGATGCAGTGAACAAGGTGGTGAAGGGAGTGTACCTTTCCTCCTCCAGGGTGAAATATCTCTCCATGCTGCTCCTGCTCCATCCCAAGGAGCTCTGCAGTCCTTGATGGATGCACTGGGAGACCATTGAGTTCCTGGGTAGTCCAGCACCCTCCAGCAGTCAGACAAACCCATGTGCTTCCAGGTTTCAGTGGGTCCGTCAAGACACACTCATTCCTGGCACCACTGCAAACAAGATTGAGGAAAAAGATGACGGAGCAAACCTGGCTCGGTGAAGGGCTTGGCTGATTGCTTCTGACTGGATCCAGGTATGTGGGGAGGCCAGACAAGCCCTTGCTTCTCCTGCCCATGGATTAGCAAGGAGCTCTGGTGAGAAGGTGTTCCACAGGGTGATGCCAGTGTCCATTCGTCTTGTGTGCTAATGCAGCGAGGAGCAGCAGATCCTTGCAACTCAGTCACTCTGGATGTTCTTGAGCCACTGACTGAAACACTGGTTTCGGTGATGGTTAGTGGGAAATCAACCTGAACGTCAGTGGGGCCAGGAGGAGCAAAGGTAGAAATGACCCTCCAGGTTGTTGGACTCATCTTGTGGTGAGGGCACTTCCTGTTGGGCATGCTTTTCATGCTGTGGCCTCAAAACCACCATACAACCATCTGAAATTAAGTCTCTTGCAATTTTCTATGCTTTGCTGTTTTGCTCAAGGACTGCAAAGCCCTTCAAAAGCACAGATGCCTCACAACTTCTTTGGGAAGGAAGACAGTGTGGGTTTATCTGATATGGAAAGAGAGGCCCAGAAAGACAAGATGACACGAGACACCAAATCTCCAACCCTGACATCGTGGGATGTTTGACTCCATGTTGAAGGCCCCGTGTATGAAATGGAGGAAGCTCTAGGATTTGCCTGGCCAAGTTTATGTTTACGCAGCACATGTGGGTATTTCCCTTGGCATGGCAAAGTCTGCTGCTGGGTGACACCGGCAGGCAGCTGTACTCCTTCCTTGGTGGGTTGCATGGGCTGATGTCCAAGAGCACTGGAGCATCTGCAGAATACATACTGGGACTCATGTCCACACCCTTCAGGGGTCAGACCTGACCTAGTCCCCCTTTCTGTGGCTGGTCCTCGGAGAGGGGCTTAGCGTGAGCTGCCCTGGTGTTTCCCAGGCTGATGGATTGTGTCTTCCTTCAGCTCCAAAGGCACAGGCAGAAGCGGTAGGAAAAGCTATATGCTCTCACCTAGGGTCTTGAAATGCTCTGGTCTCATCACACATCTCTGTTTTCTGTGGCTCCAGGGATTGCTGCCAGCCACCAACAAACAGTTCCTGCCCAGTAATACTGTCTGTTGACCTTGGCTGGAGGTTGGTGGGACTAACTGGAGTCTCCTCTCTCCTGCTCAGCTTCTTTACTAACTCTGGAGCTCACCACAACAATGTTTGACCCCAAATTGAAGGTCAGACCTGGTGATGGAGAGTGGGGAGCTTTTGGGGAAGCGAGCATGAGCATGGAGAGTGAATAGCTTCAGAGCTTTTGTTTGGAAGGTCTTCAGCTCCTTAACACCCTGAGGTTCTTCGTTGGTATGCAGATGAAATGCTATCTGACCAAACTCTCCCTGGAGTCACCTCACAGACATTCCAAGACATCCCAGTGCTTATGCTAGCTTTGTTCTTCTAGCTGCTCCCTAGGACAAAGAGCTGAAATTCCCACTTGTGTTGACCCTTTGGCCACTGCCCAGTCAGTGCAAACTCCACTTTGCAACATTTTTTACTCTTTGCTATGGATCATGGTAAAAAACTGTCTGTGAAAGGGAGAGCCAGACCCACTTTGCCCACCTTTTAAAGCTGAATGCTGGTTTTTGATGCCTGCACCATTCTCAGTGACTGTGCGTATAGGATGCAGTTATTATTCTGCCAGGGCGTAAGTGCTTGCGTGATCTTAAGCATTTTCCCTTCTCATGACTGCTTTCATGCTCAGAGTTAGTTGCTGAATATTTTCTTAAGCTAGGCCTGCGTTATCGTGGTCCCTGGAATATGTGATGCCATGTGGGATCGATATGGGTGCTGTTTGAAATGGCTGTACTGAAAGCTAATGTGTGCCCCGTTGCAATCTAGCGGTAATGCTGATATGTGCTCACTGCAATTCCTGAGTGAGGCTCAGGTGCCATTTTTTAAGTAAACCCTGGACCGAGAGAGTGCACCGAAGCATCATTCATTTGGGAATGGGGTAGCACAACTGCCCATTGTTGGGGCAAATTGCTAAAGCTTCAGTTTGCATAAACATCCCACAGGTTTGGGAGGCTTCCCCAAACCTTGATTCCATTGACTTTGGGAAGTAAGAGGGCTCCTGGGAAGGGAATCTAACTTGGATTTCCAAGTTTTTTTCTTGCTGTAGCCAGCTTGAGTATATGGTAAGAATAGGGGGATCAAGGCAGAGGTGGGAGGGTATTTCTGCTCCCAGGGTTGGTCACAACCCAGAAGAGAATTGGAACTGCAGAAGGAAATGAAAACAAAATGAAGACGCAGCTCTGCTGAGCCTCCAAAGAGGCTCCTGCTGGGTAATCATTCCTTGTTGGCTTATGTTACCAGGACAGGCTCATCCTGCTCCTCAAGGATGTTCTAACCTCTTGCAACCATGGTAGATATGGGCTGGCAAGAGAGAGTCATCTGTTAGAGATATGTCTGGTTTCACTGAAATCAGTGGCCAACCTTCCGCTGACTTCACTAAGACCACTGTCTAGACAGGATACTTGATGCAGAACTGCGAGTTTCCTCATGATCCCGAGAGCTTTGTTCCATTAGCCAATGTGGCTAAAAATGCTTGGAAAAAAAAAACCTGCCACTTTGAACTGTTTTGCTGCATGTAAATGCTTGGAAAACCAAAAGAACCAAATACGGCCCTCCAAAACAACCAACCGAAGAGGGGTGGATTGTAGGAGAGGGGATGGCAGCCTCTAGCAAAGTAACAGTCATGGCAGATTACAAAAGAGCCAATTGACCCTCACCAGCTTGGCTAGGAAAAAACCCAAAAGAGATGTCGCATTATCGATAGAAAAACAACGCACATCCACAGTTATTTTACCTACAGAGCACAGAAGTATAGAGTAAGTGTGATGGAGCTTTGTGCGAGTAGACTCACACTGCTCCTACGGTAGCGTATTATCCTTCAGAAGATCACTGGCTTGAGTAGGTAGTACATGCACAGCGATCAAACACTTATGTTGTATTGTCTTGGTCCCACCTCAGATCTCGGTGGACTCTATTCGCTCGAGTCTGGAGGGAGTCCATGTTTTTTTCTCCTCGGTGTGTGGGGGGCTGGTGGCCTTTGTGTTCATCTCGTTCACCTTGTGCTCCAGGAGCTGGTTCTTCTGGTACATCTCCACGTAGTTTAGTTGCAGCTGCTTCTGGTACTTGATGACTTTCTCCTTCTCTTCTTGCCACGTGCGCCGCTCCTCCTCAAAGTCCATCACCTGCTGCTCCCGCTGCTGCCGTTCCAGCTTCAGCTCTGTCTGGAGCCGCTCCACCTCCTTCCGCAGCGTGTTGACACTGTCCTCGCTCTGCCGCTGCATCTTGGCTTCATCGCTCTCACAGGCCAGCGGGTCCCGCAGCTTCTCACCAAGGTCCCCACCAAAAGGCCCTGGAGGTCCCATGCTGGCAAGTGTCCGCTTCAGGCCAGAGACCTCCAGCTCACAGTGGTTCAGTTTTTCCCGCAGCACCTGGACCTCACTCATCTTCCGCTGTAGCTCACTCTCGCAGATCTCCAGGTTGACGCTCTTGGAGCTGTAGGAGTCCTTCAGGGTGAGGATCTGCTCCTCTTTCTCCCGTAGGAAGTTCTTACCTTCCTTGAGCTGTGTCCGCAGTCCCACGATCTCATTCAGCTTCTGGGATACATCTGCTTGGGAGTCCTTCAGCTGCTGTTTGAGCAAGGAGATCTCACCTGCCTTCTGGCACACCTGCAAGGAGAGCACCCATGAGGCGGGAGGAAGGCAAGGAGCCGCCACAGCTGCTTGTCCCTGACACTGCCCATGAAATGTCTCCGTGGCCTCGCATTGGCAGGAGGCTCAGGTAATGGAGGGGACAGCCAGCGACAGCGCTCAAGGACTGAGCTCCAGCCTTCACCAGGACCCAGACCATGCTAAAGACATAGAGGTTGTCGCCAAATTTTGGGGGGGACATTTGGTGTTTCTTCCTGGCTCTCAGGGACCTGATGCTGTTCCCAACTGGAGTTGACCAAACAGCTAAGCTAAGTGCTGTGGTCCTCACCAGTGGTGAGCAGACACTGCTTCCCTCCCTGCATTCATCTTATTCACCTAACCACAAGCCCGAGATACTTGACCCCAAACCCTCTGCTCTCAGGAGGAGTTTCCTCACTGACCTTGATGGGATCTGGACCTTGAATAAGCCTGAGACAGAAATATCTCAGACCCAGAGACCACCTGGGTTCTCCCTGAGCACTGGGAGTGTAGGTCAGGATGCAGATATAGATATTACTGAGTTGTCCTATGATGCTTTCCTTCCTCAAAGACTCCTATTTAATTCTTTTGGGGCAGGGCATGAAGAGTGAAAGCCCCTCTGCCAAAGATCAAGGTGAGAACTGCAACCCACCCTTGCTGAAATGTGACTACCATGCACTGTCCTTGGGCACTGGAGTTTCAGGTTTCAACCTGAGTGGTTCAAGTCTCACCCATGTGGTAGGGTACACAAGCCCAGTGGAAATACCCTTGCTGCAGTGTGTATTTGCATTACGTAAGTGTCACAGTTCAGTATGACACTCCTCTGCACCTGCGTTGTATGAATAATTGTGGGTGTTGGAAGTGAACCATAAAAATGACCAGAGCCTCATTTTCCCAGGAACTCCATGGTTTTCAGGGTTCTGCACTGGCAGATCTGATCTGTCTACTGTGGATGATAGCAGAGACCACAGTTCCTACCTATGCTGGCAGGAGTCTGGGCTGGGGAGCAGCACCAAGGAGGCATTAGTGATCAGAGAGTGTAGGCGTAATTAAAAATAGACTTGGTAGTCACCTCTAGACTGGGGTGTCCTGTCCTCCTTAGCTCCTGTCCCTTGTCACACATGAAATGCTTGGCCTTTCCTCCCTCCTGCGTTGCCTGCACAGTCCCTTGCTGCTCTGCTCCAGTTGGGTCAATGCTCCTCACACAAACTCTTCTCTCCAGTGCCTTCATTGCAACTTCCACTTTTCTCCGCTATAAAGGACTTGTCTGGTGCATAATGTTGAGGAAGACCTTGAAGCTTAGCTATTGGGACAATCCAGCACTCATTACGAATGGCTGAAGAGCTAGGAGATGTACCCAGTCACTTCCTACTGGGAGCAGCTTTCACTGGAGCTGACAACCGTGGTGGTTCCCCATGCAGAGCTAACTCTGTGAGTACTCATATCCACATCAGCAGATGCAGAACTGTGTCACACCGGTTTAGCTGTAGTTAAAGTGGTGTAGTTACTGCCTAGCTAAAAAACTGCACAATTTACTGAAAGTGCTCTCCGTGGGCTAGCTCTTCCCCAAAGGCAGAGAAATTCATGATGAAGAACAATTTGGATAGGAATCAACTTACAAATTAAAATTGTTAAATTTAGACATCTACTTGGGTGCTGTGGAGATCTAGGAAATACAGTCCATGGAGCCTGGAGAGCAAGTCAACAACTCAACAAGTCTAAGTGTCTACAAATTTTAGGTATCTTGATCCACAAGCTGAATCCCTATCTTTACATCAATATCACTGGGTTAGCTGTTGCAGACAGAAATATAGCAGTGATGCAAAGAACCAAAAGCCCATCTGCGGTTTTACTGGTGCAAAATCAGGGAACTTTCCAGACCTAACTTGTTGGAAGAAACAAAAGACCCGGGCAGAGCAGCTGACCAAAGGAGCCATCATGTGGGACAATGCAGCCTGCTTGTTCTGGGATGCAACTTGCAGAGATTTTACAGCAAGTCTTTAATAAGCTCTGCTGAACATCTGCAAATAGCACATTTCAGAGCCTAATTAATCCCAGCTTCATTGACTTTCCATCAGGATTAGCAGAATAGGGTCTTCTTGATTCTAGAGCTACGTGTTGCCTCTGCACTCTTAACAAATTCAGAGTTTCTAGCCAGTCCATGGAAGGATTAAAATTCTTCACATGATCAAGCTGAAAAAATAATGTTAGTACTGGCTATGCAAACAGACTTTGATAAAATGTTCTAAAAATAGAAACAGTAGAAAAAAATATGTAAGACTCAAAAGGAGAACTAGAAAGAGGAATTTGCCTTTCAGCCTTTTAAGAGAGGTAAACTTATTAGCAACTGAAAACAGTGTGTCACAATGGAAAGCATGAGGTAGACTTGGCTATCGGTATAATTCTTAGCTTACTTGCTTTATATCTTAAATAAAAAAGAAAATCAAATATTTGAAAACCAGTTTCAAGGTTTGCCCAAATGCGTATGTTAGAAGAATTTAATTAAAATAGACTTAAACCCATTTTTGGTAGGCACAAACACCTGTACAGAAAGACCTGTATTCACTGAAACCGAATTCAAATGTTAGATGTTGGAGTGACCTGACAGGGAGGCCAAATTATTAACCAGCACAGGAGGTGTGCATAGAAATTTGTACTCATTTTAGTTTAATTGAAAACTACAGGCTTGGGACTCAGACAAATGAAGAGGTGACTGAAGTGTCTTCTGTTACCTGGAGGCCACCAACCCATTGCCATTGTCTATGGGGTCCACTTAGGCCAAATGGGATGAATTTGGGGCTATCAGAGCTCTCAATGAAAACCTTACTCAAGGTCTGTTACAACAAGGCTCTTACCTCCCACTTGGTCTCTTCAATCTTTGGGAGAAACTCAGCCTGTTCCTTCTTGAAAGCCACAAATTTCTTCTCCAGCTCCTCTCGTTGCTGGAGGAGTTGTCCCATATCATCTTGGAGTTTTTTTTTCTCTTGCTGGAGCTTGAAGATTTGGAGCTGCAAGGCCTGCTGAGCCCGCTGCGCCTTTTTGGAGACCTGTTGCAATTTGTTGGCGTAGTTTTGCCTCAGGTCCTCCATTTCCCTCTCCCAGATCTTCTGCTTCTCCTCAAACACTTGGAAGATGGCTGCCTCACTTTTGTCCAAGTTCCTTCGCATCTGGAGGACCTCCTGTTCCTTCTCCCACAGCCGGTCTTCCAGGTCTTGGATGATGTCGTCCGTTGAAGGCGAGTGGAAAGGCATTGTTTCATTGAGATGGTTCAGTCTGTTGAACGAAGAGGTGCTCTTGCTTGAAGACCGTCCGCTGTCTGAGGTAGATATCCCATTGTATCCCACAATGTTCTTGTCCACGTAGGTTGTACCGATGCGGTTGATGTGGCTCGTGGAGGCACTCATCGGACCCACGTGCTGGCTGTAGCCTGTCCCGTACGTGGGCAGGCTTGTTAATGAGTTACGGCCTGAATCCGAAAGACCCCCCACTTGGTTTGTAGTCCTGTTAAGGCTGCTCTTGTCAAGTCCACTTTTGGGTGCGGACGGGCTATTGCTGTTGGCATGGTTCAAGCTCTTTCTGTTCTCTGTCACCCCGTTGCTCTGCGGTGGGCAGAGGTTCTGCATGGAATGGAAGTTTTTAGGAACTACTGGTTTAAAGGCTGAGGGTCTAACTAAGGGCTCATTGCTCTGCAAAAGGAAAAAGGACCACGCATCAAACATAGCAGGAAGCTTCGTAACAACACACAAAAGAGACACATCAGAACAGGCTGGGGCTGATGGAGCTAAGATGTCTTGGGCTAGCTCCATATTTCTCAGCCTTATTACACCCTGGGCCATCTGGAGTGTAACATGAGGGACCTGTGGTCACTCGTTGGGGAACACTTTGTTTTTCCTCATCCCAACTGAAAAAAAAGTACAAAACCTTGACTCACTCCAATTCTGGGTGATTTTTCCCTAGAATACTCCTTGGTTCCTCTTGGTGCTCTTTGCAAGAAGGAGGGCTGACACCTGCCTACCAGACCTGATCAAAACAACTCATCGATTTTTGCAGATTATATTTTGAAGGACTTCTAGCATTGAGGGTGCTTTTCCTTTTTGCTGAAAACTGAATTGAGTCCTTGGACTAGGAGCTGTTCTGCCCCAGGAGTATCACATTTCCCTCCTGCTGGCAGTGAACACTCCCCTGTGTGGACATCATGTCCTGGTCATGCTCAGACAGAAATAGGTGGGAACTGTGACCCCAGCAGTGACACTGGGCAAGGAACATGCTGAAGCTGCTCTTCATTTGAACATTTGTGTTTCCTGCGGCTATAAGCAGCGGGGAGAATGAACCACAGCTGTAAGGGATTTAGAAAGGATTTTAAAACTTCACACATTCCTCGCCCATGAATGCGCCTACAGAAACAGAATTATCCTAAAAATGGGATTGATTCTCCCCTTCTGCAGGTTGGGCTTCAGGTGAAAATTAACCCAGAGGAAGCCACCATATTAGCAAAGATATTTTGAAAATGCCTACCAGGAGAAAGAGAAAGGGCCCTGGTAAGCAGACAAGGTTGGAGACCAAAAACCTGACACCTGGCATGCAGGACTGAGATGGACTACAGGGGGCTGGTGGATTAACAGCCCAGGAGACAAGGCCACCAATCACTGCAGATATAATACTGCACAAGGCAGCGTCCCCAGGACACAAATCATGGAAGTTGCTGGAGCAGAGCAGCAGGCTATATAAAACACCGCTGACTGTGGGGCTCTGCTCCTCCAGGCCTGGGAGATGTTTGCTCCCTGAAGCCGATATGAGCCACTAGGACTGGCCTTGGATGGGGAATAATGCTTACAGGAGTAGTTTTCAAGCCTTGTCAACTCGTCCCTCACAAGAGGCACTGGTATTTTGAACAGATGCTTATAGCATCTTTCAAGCAACACCTTTTGGTGGAAGTGGCATGTTAGAGATTGTCTATAAATGGCACAAAATATAAGAGTGGGACTCAGATGCTGGACCTACTGAAATGAGAGCCAACTCCAGCTCCCTTCCCATCAACTGGGGAGGTAGGCACAGCATCTTGGGTAGGTTGGAATAGCCAGTGACTTAAATACAGGCTTAAATGAGATGGAAACTTTGCTGTGGAAGACTTGTTATCATGCTGTTGGGTTCCTCAAGAACTAACATTCCCCTTTGCTCAACACCCGGAAAGTAGTAAGAATTACATTATCTGTACATAAAAATGATGCCATCTACAAAGTGAGAATTAGACTATCTGTCAGGATTGCACCATTGCCCAAGGCTTCCTGATCTGTGTTTTTGGAGATGTGCCATGGCCATCATGCTGTTACAGGATTCTCACCTGGTCTAGTTTGCCGGAGATAGGCAATATCTTTGGTGGGTTACTGGGCTCTCGGTATTGAGGGGGAGGCGGCATGTTCTTCTCGTTGTTGGTGGTCACATTCCCACAGATGTCCATCTTCACCTTCTCGTTCTTACGCAGGTCACCATTGATGTAGAGAGAATTGGAGACCTTCTCCGACTTGTATGTCTTCTCCTCGCCGGAGTAGCGGTTGGAGATCTCCCGCATGGAGTACCCATTACGAGACCCCTCTGTCTGCCGTCCACTGCTCTGCGTCCGAGTCCCCACGCTCTTCATGGCGAACTCTTGGTCATTGGCAACTCCGCTGCCCACACTCCCCATGGTGCTCTGGGAGATGGGTTGGGATGGCCGGGGAGCAAAACTGTGGTAGTTCTCCGGGCTGGGGTAGGTTGAGTCACTAAGAACGGGCAGTGTCTCTAGCGTGGCCATGACAGCACAGAGGTGAGGTGGAGGCACAGGTCAGTGGCACTGGGAGAAGTAGGAAAACAAAAGAACTGTTAAAGAGATGCCTTTTATGTACCATACCCTTTGCAGATCAGCATTGTGCAGAGATGAGCAAATCTCTCGGCTGGGTGATGCAAGGACAGAAGCTGTCATGTCTCAGTATATGGTATGTAGCAGGCGATTGGGCTTTCCTCCTCTCCATGACCCTTAGCCCCCCTTGGAGGATCAGTGTGCACTGGTCCCCCAAATCCCACTCACAGCTATGCAAAAGAGCTGCTCGTAAGCCTCTCAGTCCAAAGGTAGGGTGGTCCCAAGGGAGGGGGTTGCATGGATTTTAGTGGGCACAGCTCTACAGCATTGGTTGGACACAACCATTTGCAGTTCCCAAGCTTGAATTATTTCTGTCACTTTTCCCAGGTTTGAACAAGTTTGTGTGGCCATGGGGATGGAAGGTATCCAGCCCTGGTCCATCTGTAGGCTCATACTATTGGTCCCTCTAGCACATCCCTTAGCGATAATTCAACAGGGCTTAAGCAACACACTTTCCATCTCTTCCTTGGGAGCATTGTGCCATGGACTTGAGCTTTTAAAAAGCTGTTTTTGTCCAGGTGTCGTCCTAAATTTACTTTTAAACCTTTATTCCTACTCCATCTTATTCTTATCTAGACTGTGCATTCGATTGGCCAAAACTAGGCCATGGGAAGTGGATAACATGCCGACAATGATTTTAAAAGTTGAAGACATCAGGACCAGTCCTCACATGTCTGGATGCTCTTCCTGAGCTCCATCACCATCACAAACCCTAGTCCTGCAATTTCAGCTTTGGCTTCATAGGCACCCAGTCCTATTCACATCCATGTTTTGGGGAAATTCTACAAATACTGGTGGTTGTGTTGGTGCTGAATTTATTATCAGCTGAGGCAGTCAAGATCCAGATCTACTGGTGCTAAGACAGGTTTCAGATGGGGACAATTTATAACTTTCTAAAAGGCCTTTTGAAAGTCCCTTTTGAAAGTCCCAGCTGAAAATCCACCTGTTTCTACACTCTTGGACCCAGTAATAGTCGATCTGGTCTGCACTGCCCCACTACCCCCCCGAGGGTCACAAAGCCTCTGCAGTCATGCCCCAGGATGGACTGGGACTAGGGAAAAAAAAAACCAACCCACGTGGATTTATTTCTCTTAACAGTATTTCTTTAGTTACAGAAACCCGTGGGTTTTCCCTGATGGGTGTGCCCATAAAATGAGCATTGGGGAAGCTGCTCTGTGTTGAACTGAGCTGGAGCAGAAGATACAAATCTTACTGAGAGTGACTGCATGCCCCATGATTCCCATTCCCTCTGCTTAGGTGTTACCTTGATCTTCTGTAATGCAATCGGCCCCACAAAAGTGTAAAATCTTATTTAAGGAAATAAAATGCCCGACAACAAAACTTCTTTTTGGTTGCTTCATTGAATAACAGTGAATTTGAATCCATACCAGCTAAGGATCTCATTACCCGAGGGAAGGGAGAAGATGCATTGCAAAGTTTGGGTGATTGCAGAGAATCCTGGGGTCTCTGTATTTGGGGAAAGACTCTCACAGCTCAATTCAGTCACTGGTGCATGATTGTCCAGGCCTCTGGGGGGGGTCTGTATGTCCTCCCAGTGCCACTCTGGAAAGGCTGGGGTCTTCCTGGAGTCCTGCCTCATATCTGCCAGCCTGTGCAGATGTCTCTGATACCTTTAGACTGGACATAGCTGAACCAAGCCTGGCAGAGCAGGGTCAGTGGCACGTGGACAGCTGCAGTGTCCACCCAACCCTACTGAGCTCAGTGGCTTGGTCCCCATGGGCCAGGAAGGCTGCTTGTTTTTTTTTTTTTTTGTCCCAGGAGTCCTCAGTTCCAGGTTTCCCAAGATAAATCATCCTGGCAGTGTGGGGACTAAAGCAGAATTTAAGGGCAGTGGGAGGTGCAGGTTTCCCCCTGGGTAAGAGAGGGATAACCAAAGTGATGCCCTTTGGAGGGAGGTTGAGTGATGAGGGGACTCAGGCAGGGCCAGCAAATAGGGGAGATGGAAAAATTCCCCATTTTGGTGGGATTTTCCCTGTTCTTGGAGTAGGGATGTTAAATCTGCCCTTCCCAAGTAAAGCAGGAGAGTTGGGTTTATTTCCCTGGAGAGTTTGCTTAGGTCTAGAGCTCAGCTCTGATGTGGTGTCTCGCGAGGTCTTGCTATTTGCACTAATAATGGAATGGAAAAGAAAAATTAAAAAGGTCAAAGCAGGGTCTGTGCTGCTTGACTTGGCTTTTATTAAATTGCATTTCTGGAGGCTTCTGCCAGGTGCACTGCCTGTAGCCTCCTCCCCTGTTTCGGTGTCTTGATCTCATAGAAAGCTGCCCTGTCCAAAATATGGCCAGAGTGTCATGGGGCTGGTGGACAGATGTGGCAAACTGCTCTGCCGGAGGGAGAGGACCCAGAGCTGATGCCTACAGAGAGCTGGCAGAGCTCCTCTGGGGCAGAGCAGGGTATGGAGGTGGTCACAGAGGGAAAAAGTAGTTTAAGGAGGCACTCTGGTGAAAGCCACCATCCCAGCTGAACTCCTGTTGAGGTATGAAGGAGCCTTTGCGGTCTGAGATACTCCACATGTGCCCCATCATGGACAGGGGACAAGGCAGCTGCGAGGCAGAGGAGAACGTGTCTGGTGGTGTAATCTTCCCCATCCCCTTGCACATCACCCCACCTAAGGAGGGTCCTCAGGGGACTTGCCCCAGTGAACCACCAGCAATATGAAGTGATGAGTGTTGGGTGAACATTTTGTAGTCACAAATGTAATGTCATAGAATCATAGAATTGCTGAGGTTGGAAGGGACCTTTAAGATCATCACGTCCAACCATCAACCTACCCTGACAAAACCACTTCTAAACCATGTCCCCAAGTACCACATCTACCCTTTTTTTAAACACCTCCAGGGATGGCAAATCCACCACCTCCCTGGCCAGCCTATTCCAATGTTTAATAACCTTTTCAGTGATTTTTTTTTTTTCCTAATATCTAATCTAAACCTCGTCTGACATAACTTGAACCCATTTCCTCTCATCCTATCACTTGTCACCAGGGAGCAGTCAGCCCCCACCTCCTTACAACCCCCGTTCAGGTAGTTGTAGCGAGTGATAAGGTCTCCCCTCAGCCTCCTCTTCTCCAGGCTAAACAACCCCAGTTCCCTCAGTCGTTCCTCATAAGACTTGTCCTCCAGACCCCTCACCAATGTCCTTTTTAATGACCTTCCTGCAGCTTGCAGCTTTGTCCCCCAACAGAGATGTCTTCATGTCACACACTGATGTCTTCATGTCACACACTGGTTGAGGTCTAAAGGCCAAGCAGCAAACGAATACCACACAAGCTTTGCACGGTGTGGCATGGGGACCCATGACAATCAAAACACGTAAATTTTTATCGGTCATGAGTAACAAAACCTCCACCAGCAGAGAGAAGTGTCCAGGTCTGGTCACGCAACTGGCATGCAATATTTGGACATGTCTCTCTCCAATGAACTGAGCAGGACTCAAAGGCTCCCGACCCCATTGCACCCTAAAGGCACTTTCCAAAGAACAACACGATAGACAATTCGCAAGTGCATGATGCCCAGGGATTAATCTAGGTGTGTGCTGGGCACCTGGAGACTTGATTGAGCTGCAGAGCAATGAGGAGGTATGGAAACTGCCCGTCTGAAGCCACACTCAACCCACAGTGCCTTTGGATTTTATTAGTCAAGGGAAGACTTTTTGTTCTGCTAATTTAGGAATAACCTGTGTTTCAGTGACTTTGGGTTCTTTATAGGCTGTGTCTTTTTTTATGCGACACCAGCCACCACAAGAGGGATGTGCTGGAAGGTCTCAGCTCCAGACAAGGGAAAGACAGTGGCTGCATTGCCTTGACGCAGTCCTCCCTGGCCCCATTCAGCCAGCCGAGGAGAAATCCAGGTCAGCTTTTCCTCACTGGGTAAATTCCACAGTGACATTTGCACATTTACATTGACTTTGTGAGGGCAGGATGAGGTCACTGGAAAGTTTGATCCTTCAACCCCCCCCCCCAATAATAAATAATAAATGCCAACACAACAAGAAGCAGGGAATGCAAGTGTCGTTAGCTCAGTGAGAGCCACAGCCTGGGCAGAGACATGGCAGGGACAGGACACCTCTGAGAGCTGCTCAGCGCTGTGGCATCTCTGTCATTGGTCTTCACCGGCAGAGTATTGCAGCCTTTCTCTGCCCTTGGGGACCTCCTGGGTCCCAGGAAGTTGTTTTCACATCAAGCAGGCTTCTGCTTGAGGCCATGTCCCAAGCCCACTGGGATGTTGAGCTGGTGTTTCCGCTCTGTGCCAGCAACCCAAAAGCAGGGGGGGCTTCAGCTGCCTTCTTGGGATGTGAGATCAAAGCTACACCACAGGGCCAGACTCTGAAAATGGACCTTTTTTTTGTGAGTTTTCTTTTTTTCCTCCTAACTGGGAATCAGCCAAGAAAATATTCTAGAAAAAAAAGTTATTAGCTTATGTTTACTGTAAACCCAGAATCTGATAAACAGAGCATACGGACAAGCATTACACATATGTTATTAAGGAGATTCCAGAAGTGCCAACAGATCCCTGACAGTACAGCTTTGTTTGCCAAAAAGGGCCATTTATTTTGAGAACAACGGCTCTCGCTTCCGTGTCTTTTGGCCAGCTCCAGTTCCCAGTCAGGTTTTACCTGAGTCATTCCTCAGGTGAACTGTGAAATTAAGTTTTGAGCACAGTGAGGTAAGAAGTAATGCTGCAAGGCTCCAGCGCAGAGCTGGAGGGTCTTTTTTTCTCCTTCCAGGTTTGGAGGAATGCATGATTAAAAATTTCCCCGGGACATTTCTCCTCCTTAAATCTCATAACCACCTCCCTCGCATGGAAACATGAACTAGAATTGGGTTTACAGGTGATTCCCAGTGAGAGGAACAAGGATGCTGAGCCTGACAGTCCAT